AAAAAAAAAAAAAAAAAAATTAGACCTCTTCCCCCCTGAGAGCTAGACTTTACAAAGAGTGCCCACCCCCTGTTTCACAAATTTTATAATTTTAAAAAGTAAATTTGATGCAGTTTTACTTGGAGAATATTTTTCCTTAACATAAGGGTGACATTAAAAAAAAAAAAAAAAAAAAATGGGGACAGTGCAATGTGTGCATGTATATTTGACGCTCTCCTAGCAGAATGGGGCGGAAAATTCTTCCATTTCAATTTGTTAATTTCGCCTTTTTGTAAATTCCGAGAAGGTTACATTTGTCAGTAAGAAGGGTCAAAACTATGCTCCGTTTCTTTTGTTCGTGTGACCTAGAAGGCCCTTTGCCCTTTTTAGGGGGGGTTAAAAAAAGGGGACAAAAATTATCTTTTCACTTTGGTTTGAAAATGCCTTTTTCTTTGTACAGACTCACCTGCACAGGTCTGAACGCAAACTAGACGGACGTACCAACCGGAACATTTTTCCCTTAATTTTATTTTCACCATTTAGAGTTAAAAAGAAAAAAAAAAAAAAACACAACATTTAAAAATTGAGGGCTGTTCATTCACCCCCGCACACATTTGTTTGTGTAGTTTCAAGGATGCACTCGCATTTGGGGAAAAACAGAACAAAAAAAAAAAAAAAAAAAAAAACAGCCATGCGTTCAGTTCTGTTGAGTGGTTACAACGCATGGATGATTGGGAAGCAATGTGACTTATATCCCATGACTTGCCACGACAAGCAACGCAACACTGCCATGTGTTCTTCAAAAGGTATGAACTGGTGTAACACTCGGATAAATATATACGTGTGAAAAGGAAAATAAAAAAAAAAATAATTCTTTTTTAGCATAAAATTAAATCACACCACTCTGTATCAATTGACAAAACCAAGGGGAACACCTTCAGAGGAACTTTCCTTAAAGAAAATGCAACAAGGTTAATTCTCATGAGTAGAACAAAAGAGGGGGAAGGGAAGGCATCATTCACTCGGTCTCCACAAAAACTGTATCATTTTACACGTAGCAGAAAAAGCAGTCGTTTTTTCCCCTCTTGTTTGTTAAGCAATACGTTGGTAAAAATTTATCTTTGCACTCATTCCAGTTGTCATCACAAAACTTCACGCACTCGTCGTCGCCTATGTCAGGGTCACTTGCCACCGCTCGTGAGCACGCGTGTCCTGCGCTCAGCGCCGCATCACCCTCGTAGGTAACAAGGCCCGTCTTCACCTTCCCGTGCTTCACATGCTTCAAGATGTGCAGTACTTGGGTTATCTTGGCAGCGTTACTGGGGGAAGCACTCAGGGATGATGATGCCGCAGGTGGGGATAAAGTTACTCCAGTTCCGCTCTGTGCTACCCCATCGTGTGCGCCCCCCTGTCCAGCTTGCACTTCTGCCTGATTCTGTCCTTCCCCTTGACCTGATTCATGGGCCTCTACCTCTTCCGTCTGCCCAGAAACCACGAGGTTCACAACTTGGCCTTTTTGGCCCTCATTGGTATTTTTACATTGAGAGTCGAACCCTTTATAGTACAAATTTTCATAAAGGTCAGGGGCACCCTTCAAGTAGTAGCTATATAATTGGTTGTTCTTCTTCGTAACGGATTGAGCGATGGGCACGTCTAGGTTGAAGACAGCAGCGGTGTGGATAAAGTTCTGTTGGCATCCATGCGGACCATACATGTCGACCTTGAAGTTGCCGTCATCTCCCCAGTGAGAACCCCAACTGTTACGTAACAACCAATAGGACTTTTTCATTCCCTCCTCATTTATATAATTACCATAACCTATTATGTTGACGGCGAGATCTGGTGTTTGACCTCCACATAGAGAGAGGACTTTCTTTCCGTTCAAGTCGTAACTGAGTGCTCCCGCCGCTTTCACGTAGGCAATTACCGACCCCTTGTTCATGACTTCCGACTTCACCAACTTAATAAACGCGTCCATGTTACCGTTGAACTGGGCACTCTGGTAGGCAGTGTACCCCTTGGTGCTTACCGAGTTGGGTTGGTACTGCGGGTCTAGGAGTGTTACGTTTGCCCACAGATTTTTCCAGTGACTGTTCGGCTGGGGACACACATTATTCACCGCTTTGTATGAGTATGGAAGGTTTGAATTGGTTGGCAAGAATTTGGTCTCCTCGAGCGTCTTCAAAAATTCTAGCGGGTTTGACGGAGCCTGGCATTTGTCATGCGCTTTATTATTCAAACAGTTGGCCACATAGAGAGCCGAACTTGGGATGTGTTCATAACCCTTCATGCACTTAATCGTTTCTAAGTGTAATTTAGAAGCGAATAGCCAAGACGTGGCACACACACCCTGATCTTCCGCTTCAATTTTGGACATGCAGCTCGTGTCGTCCTTCCACCTATCGCAGTACTCATCGTTGCAGTACATGCTGTCTTCAATGAGGGAGCTGCAGTTGTTTTTCTCCTCCGCAGATACGAGGTTTATAATAGCATCGTATGGGACATTCTGCATACCATCATTTGTGTGGCTCATGTGTTCCGCTTTGGGGATTGCGGAGAGAGTAGCTTCTACATGGGTCTGAGCCAAGCTAGGAAGGAGAAGCCCTTTTTTGCTGTCCACCCATTGGTCCGTATTTTTCAAGCATAGAGCAGGATTTTTCAACTTGTTTTGTAATGAGGACACGGAACAGTCACTGTTCATGTGTAGCATATTAGTTATGTTAACAAATACATCTTGTGCACTACCCAACTCGTAATTGTCTAACACTCCACTGGAGTCCACCTCTTTCATGGAAGCACAATAATTGAGCAATTCTGCTTTCAAAGCTTTATTTGCTTGGTCAAAACTGAGCAATTCATTCATACCCGTCTGTCCTTTTTTGTACATTCCTTGGAGGATTTTTCCAATAGACTCTGTCAACACATCTTCGAGCGTATCTTCCTCATCTTGTGCATTTACTTTTATGTCCTGAAATTTATCGGTGACCTCAGAAGAGACGTACTTGAAGCACTCATCTGTCGTGTCCTTGTTCTGAATGAGTAACGTGCACTGGAAGCATTTTTCAACATCCACGTTTCCGTTCAAGTAGCAGTCAGTTGCTATTGTGTCACATTTTTCTACACAGAAAAAGGGAGAAGAGGAAGACAATGCATACATGGTTACATGTGCGCGACGTGTGCGCCAAACATTAGAGGCAGTTACGCTCAACCCTGCTGGCGACACTCCTTGCACGTCCTCCATTTTTTTTTTTTTTTACTCCCCCCCTGTCCTGTGAGAAAAGCAGCTTACCTGGAATATCCCTCTTCACATAGTAACTTTTGGTCTCCACCAAAAGCGTATCATCGTTCACCTTCGATGAGTGCACTTGGATAGTCGTAATTGGTTGGTCCATGTTGTTCAGGATGTATGTTCTCACGTCCACATCTGTGCCTGCAGGGGGTGGTGGTAAAAATATATATACATATATATATATATATATATATATATATATATACATACATATGTAGCATAAAATGTGCATGCAGATTGCGCCCAACTAGACATGCACAAATGGGGCAGACATGGCCGTCCTCGCATGTTAAAAATATCTAATCATTTGGTGAATAAAGCCCAAGTGAAGTATAGTACTCTTTCATTTTATCTCTTCCATTGTTCAAATGCAGGTGGAGACAGTTGCACCATTTCCCCTCATTATTACTTGCGTTTGGGGGGGCCGATTTGTCGTAAACCTTCCACTTTAGAGTCAACTCCCCTTCATGAATAAGAACCAGAAATTTAAAAGTCTGCTCATTCCCTTTCCCAGGTTGACACTTATTCTTTAGCTTTTCAGGGTTCTTGCCAAATTGTATTGCATTATAGAGTTTCATAATTTCATCTTTTGCCTCGTTTGTGTCAATCAGCTTATGTAATTTTGGCCTCAACTTTATGTCGTTTGTGCTTGTTTCGGCACTGATGGACATATGCGGGACGAGGAATATTTCGAAGTTTGCGCCACAGGGACCAGTAACCTTCACTCCGTTTGCATCTTTCAGTAGGGCAGTTTTTACTTGAATGCCGCCGTCATTGGAGGAGGAAGATTGCGGGGCACCAACCGAGGTGTGTGTGGTTTCGTGTGTGCCTTCACGGGGGGCCCCCGATCCGCCCAAAGCTGGGGCTTGCTGCTGCGGACCTGCATGCGCGCCTTGATGTGAACTTGGTATGGTAGTAACCGTGTGGGTTGCTCCTTGGGGACCTTGTGGGGTTCCTGGCACAGCAGTGTTATGAGATCCATTTTGGCCTGAGGCGCTGGGAGATGGATTCTGTGGTGTTTCACTGTTCGGAGTTACAGGGGTTGGTGATGTAACGCCGTGGGATGGACATTCAGGTGAAAGTGTGTTCTGATCGCTTGTCTCCGCATTTAGCAGCATGCGCCCATTCAACGCAGCATCTGAGGAAATTGGTATGAAAAGCAAAATGGGAGACATGAATGGAGGGTATGAAAAGCACCCTTTCTCTTAAAAAGGGCGTCATTTTTTAATGTCCTTAGTGGGGTAGCCCTTCACCTCTCCTTTGATGCAACTTGAGGTGGTGCTCCTTTTTCCATCATCTCCAGAGCATCTTATTTGTGTCATTTTTTTTTTTTTTTACTCACATGTTAGGAGGAGGATAAACACACAAGACCTCATTTTGCAGGATGCGAGACGATGAAAAGGATATGAAGAATTCTACTGTTCACTTTTTTTTTTTTTTTTTTTTTTTTTTTTTGGGCATAAAATATTTTTTTTTTTTTTTTTTTTTTTTTTTTTTTTTTATTTTAGGAAACACACCAAACAGTTAATTCAACATGAGCAGTTGAATTGTTCTTGTTCTGATACACACGCGATCCCTGGGGAATATTTCACGTAAAGCCAAAAGGAAATTTTATTTTACTTTCTTTTTTATTTTTTTTTTTTTTATTTCTTTTTTCTTTTCTGGCACAAGAATCTCATCAGGAGTTACACACTTTAGCCCCCTTCCAAAAAACGTGTTCACACTCTTCCTTACGATATAACCCTTTCCGTTCCGTGGTGCACACACATGAGAATTAGCATACACGTGTGTGCACTAGTCCTCTCGGTCGATGTCCCTGCGAGGCTGTTTGTTCTTTACAAGTGGTGCATAAATGGAGGGTTAAAGGGAGGGCATGCACTGTATCACCCATCTCCTAGCCATTACCATATCGATGATAAAAAAAAAAAAAAAAAAAAAAAATTACAAAATGTTACAAAATGTTACAAAATGTTACAAAATGTTACAAAAAGCCAAGAAACGTCTGGAAATGCAACCAAGTGAACGGCTGCTCGCTCTCGACCGACGCACACTTCCTCTAGTCTTGACAACGCATGCAACTGAATCGGGAAAGGATAAACACACCACCCGAAGAAAACCAGTTTCGCATCCTTTAAGAGTTAAATGTAACAACCTTATTTTCACGTAGGATTATTAGCGATACGCAAATAAGTGCGTTTTTAGCCCCCTCAACATAATGTGACCCGCTTATGCGTAACAGAAGGGGCAACCATTCCTTCCTCTCTCTTGCGGGTATATTTACCAAAGGGGGTGGCTCATCTGTATAGTCCACACACTCCTTGTAAAAGGTAAACCCACTTGGGATTCCTTTCTGCGGATGCTAAAGGAGATTGTGAAAAAGCGTGGGCTCCACCCATAGCATTTCCAATACCTTATGCGTCACCAAGTTCCTTGTCGCCGTAGCATGGTGGGTATCCTTTGAAGGGGGTACATATGCGTCACATCTGCTAGACTACCGTTCCATTTCACGGTGTTCAGTTTCATTATTGAACTGCTATATGTCCCCCCCTAGTGCGCCTTCCTTCTTATCTGTTCATTTTTATGCTGCACATCGAGAGGGAGGTAAACTAATAACAGGGGTTGCCCAATTTAGTGTTTTCGGACAATAGGGTGCACTTGTAACAATCGCTAGATGTTTATATTGCCACTGAAGAAACAGTTCGTAGGTATTAGGTCACATGTGGCTGGCATGTCATCCTTTAAAAAGTATTACCTGCTTTCCAAAAGGAAGGAGTCTTCGTTTCCTTGTCCAGTGTGTACCTGTATGGCGGTGATTGGTCCATCTGTATTGTTCAGGAGAAATTTCCCTACCTCGACTTTGTTGTTTGAAGGGAAGACAAAAAAAAAAATCAGTAGAACAGAGAATTATATGAAAAACTGGGGGTAAGACGAGCGCAATGCACAGCCGCTTCAGATTATCCGGTTTGCTAATATATATTTTTTTTTTGTTCCCATTACTGAAGGCACCATTTTCGTAGGCCTTCCCCTTGAGGATGAGTTCTTCCCCCCTAACGATCACCACAAATTTAAACGTCCTCCCCTCTTCGCATTGGTTGAGGAGCAAATTCACATTCCTCTCATACTGTAACAACGACAATGACTTTCTGCTAACCGCCTTGTGCTGCTCCTTTGTGATTGTGAGATTGTTAATTTTTTTTCCTTATATAAATTTTGTTCGTGTCTGTACATTTATGGTTACGTGTGGGCAGAGGAATAGCGGCAACTTCGCCCTGCAGGGCCCCGTGATTTTCACCCCGTCTTGGGGTCTTTAATCTGTGTGCATTTGGCCTTCTATTTCGTTCGGGGTTTTTCACCGGAGCTGCTGCAGCTCGGTTGGTTACCACTTCGGACAAATAAAATAATGCCAAGTTGGTCTTTTTTTTTTTTTTTTTTTGGAGGGGGGACAAACTTGTGTTATCCTGTAAATTCGTGAATAGGATGTAAATTTCCACACGCGCACATTGCCCCGTTGGACATGAGCTGTGAATAGAAAGGGGGGGAAATAATTTCCTAACGATGGAGGAATGATCCTAAGGGTTTACACTGCATTCACTATCGTTTTTTTTTTTTTTTTTTTTTTTTTTTTTTTTTTTTTTCCCATTTCGCTAACTTTAGCTAGCAATTTGGTCGTTACTACAATGGCATTATGCGGGGGTGTAAATTTTTTTTTTTTTTTCATCCCCTTTCGAATTTGTTATTTTCCCTATGTGGAACAAAGTTGCGCGTAGCATACGTCACCTTATGGGGGAGGCGACGTATTTGTTGCTTTAAGAACGAGCCTTTTTGTTTTTCCCTTCCTTGGGAGGACATGATCCTCTGTTGTTTCATCTGAAGTTTGCATTGCCCACTTTTGCGGCTGTTTTGCGGCCGTTTTTTGGCTGCTTTGCGGCTACTTGGCAGCAACTGTTTTGCTCACTTTCCTGTTTGTCTCTCCTTTGGAGGAATCCCCCCGCGAGAAGCATGCTTAGCTGGGGCGCCGCTCCGCTTTTGTGTAACTCTCCCCCCCAGTGATTGCTCCCTTGTGGTGGTGTATAAAATTTGCGGCTTCGCCTCTTCACCACTACACCGGGCAAAATGCCTTGCATTCTGAAGGTCAGAATATCGGGCATACGGGACTTCAAGGCTTTTGAAAAATCAGAAGTGGATTCGCTTAAATATGTCGAGGTGGGTGTGACAAGGGGTGGAGGAGAATTAGCAGCAGCACTGGGCAGACCACCTGAACGGTTAAAGGAAACGAGACGTATATACATGTGGCCCCTTTTTTTTTCTTTATGCACACTATTTGTAGGTCACACTGGGCGAAATAAAGCAAAGGACGAAATTTAGTTAGCGGGAAAAATTATAAGTCCATTTGAGCTCCCACACTTCAAATAGACAAAGATATGTGGAGGGCTGCTTGTACAGGCCAGCTTGTACAGACCCGCATGCGCCACACATGCTGCTGACTCTCCATTTCTCTCCGCGTAGATATTAACAGACACACACATGACCTGAACTTATCCTTTCGATTGGAAATCGCCGACGACTCGGAGCTTCAGACGTGTCCTCTGAAGATAACGGTAAGGAGCAGAGAAAGAGGCGAGAAATGGAGATGAAAAAGGAGGAAAAACACAAGGCGCCACCATGAGCGGTGTCACAGGTAGAGGCATCGCAGCGAGAGGCAGCTGTTCCAGTGACGCCATAAAAATGTGACTCCCCCGCCCCATGCGCAGATCGACGACGTGGAAAACATAAACAGCGGGTACATTCAAATAGACTTCAGCTTCTTCTACTTCCACGACAATTTGAAGTTGGAGGGATGGTTTCCCTTGTACGACTCCCTGGCTGGACTCAAAGGTTGCGCCTCGCTCTGCTCCCACGAGCAAAATTATACACCTCTAGCAGGAAAGACACTGCTCCTGTGAGTGTCGTCTACCCCACACATAACCCCTCCACGACAACTACATGTGTTTCCGTCTCCCCCCTCTCTGTCTTGTGGATCTCCCCAATGCTAGGCGAACTGTACTGTACCATCAAATGGGAATTCTTTGAGGAGAAAAACCCCTACAATGATAACAGCGCGGGTAAGGGCGTACTGTGCGTGGTACTCCCCTTGGTACTCCACTCGATACTGCACTTGACACTCCACTCCGGTCCCCGCACCCACGTCCCTGTCGCCTTTTCCCCTCTGCCCCAGATGTCCTTCTTCTGGGCACGACGTCTTTTCCCAAGAACTCCCCCTACTATATCGAACAAATTATAAACTTTGCGGTAAGACAAGGCCAGCCCGCATGGCCCCCCTTGTTCGTGTAGATACGTGTATTATAAATTGAGTGTTGAAGAATTCAGAATGTGGTTGCATGCATGTGTTAGCGTACGTCCGGCGGGAGGAATAATCGGATAATGAATATCTGTTTCCCTTTTTTTTTTTTTGGCAGCACGAACTTAAGATTGTAAACGATCCTGAGTATGACTGGAAGGACTTGATAAGATCCAACAGGTGTGAGAAAAAAAAA